GAATACCAACAAAGTTTCATTCGTGGAGGCTCCGCCCCAAAATTGTCCAACCCCTTACCCTTTTAGATACCATTTTTGACAGAAAAGGTACCCCTTTCTTCGTATACCTTTTATTTTTTAACTGCTGTAAATGCAAGGTCTTTAAAATATGATAAAATCACAAAACAATAACTTTTTCTCGACATGATTTCACAGTCATATAATGCATCTGTTAGCCCTTTTGGGCTATTTTACCGACCTAAATGACAGGTTTCCCTATCCTTTCATATACTTCAACAAGTGAAACCCGCTACCCTTTAATATACCTGAAGCCTGAACAAGGTACCCCTTTCGAGCGGAGCCCTCACCGTAAAGGCCATTGGGGAATAGGTTTGCATGATTAGCAAAACAACAACTTTGCACATGTATCACACTTTTTTTGTACATTTCTTTTCCGTCACTGCGCGACTACGACGTGAAAATTCCTTGAAAATGCCTTGAAAATGCCTAATTTCTCGTTTTATGGAGAACCGTAACCAAGCTAAACCCAAGTCCGGTCTCAAGAAATAGTCAGATAGTCAGTTCTGTTAAAGATAGTTCTGTTAAAGCTTTTTAGAAAACTAAACTCCGGTGGTGAACAGGTTTCCAAAACGTTAGTTTGCTTAAGTATTGATTCTTAATTATTGTCTTAAACCTACTCTATCATGTCAAAAAGGAGATTTTCTTTAAAAAAAAAAACACACCTTTTTTTAAATGCATGAACTTTCAATACTAGCAAAATGAGACATGCTATAATTCTTCGAAATTTTTGGGTCCTGCTTAAGTCGAATGGGCGTACAATATTGCATGGAATCAAACTGATAAAAAACAATTTAATTCTTTATGGCGTGACCCTAGAAAAGCACCCTACACACCTAATATACCTCGTACTTTAAGTCATGATCTGAGACAAGAATGCTCAGGGGCACCCAACGTCAATTTTCGGGAAAATATCTGTTCGGAAGACAATTTGAGATCTAGAATTTTCGGAACATTTATTGTAAAATTTCTTGCTTGCCTGCCTCTCCTAGGATTTTCGAACATCTAAGAAAGGGTAAAATTGCCCATTTTTAACGGATTTTTACCCTAAAAAGGTCACCTAGAATTTTCGGGAGCCTTTTTTCTAGCTGAAATTTTCGAAAAGGTTAGTTTTGATCCCTATAATTTTTGGATCAATAGCCTTTCAGCTAGGAAATCCGAAGAGAACTTTCTAGAAATTCAGAATAACAAAATAATACATGACATTATCGGGACAAAAAGACGCCAGAATGTCTATAAAGTGACTCTGTAAAGGATGCAAACCTGTAGAACCACCTGTGTTCTCAATATTTTATCAAGAGCAGACTTCTTGCAAAGTTTCGCTGCAGCTTGTATTGCTTCAGAAGATAACTGAACTTTCATTGGACTTAAAATACTAATTAACTTGAAAAATTATCAACTTCACAGTGTGTTTGTAATTATACTTCTCTTTTAAAAACTAAATAACCGAAAGCCAATATTTCTAAACAATGCCAAATTTTGCTATGGTTAATCATTTCCATTACAAAGAGAAGTTAACAAAATGAAAAAGAAAATAACAAACCAACGCACTCTTCTCTACTTAAAGTCCACGTTTCTCAATTCCTTTCCAAACGTTGGGATATCAAGCCACTTTGAAATGGACATCTCGCTGACATTTCTTCACCAGTAGTCAGAGCAAAGTGTACGAAAAATGCTTCGCATCAGCTTGTTTTATTTAATTTACAAACCTTACAATCACATAGACCGGACAGTCTTTATCGAGGACTCCTTTGCATGTAAATGTTTGTTTCCGCAGACGGATTTGATTGAGCTAAAGCGTTATCTTGTGTACCTTGTTGCTGAAGCCGATATCGCTTGCGTTTAGGAAGAATAAGTAAACTCCCCTTCCTTTCAAGGCTTTGCCGATTCGCGTTCAAGAGCAAAATATTTGATTTACCATGCTTAATAACAACTTGACAACCCGTTGGGTGCTGTCTTTCCCTCCATTTATATTTACCTTTTGACTCCTGGTTCTACTGCTCATGCTCAGATGGTCAACCAATGAAAACTCGAGTTGAAACGGATTATCCCAGAGGTCCCTGTTGCCCGTTCCGCTGGACAAAGCAACGCGGACTCTGGGAATGAGATCGTAGCCATCAGCGCTAGATCCAACCTCGTCCCCAGGGCTTTTCCTTTAAAAAATGGGTGGGGCGGGAAAAGGTGACATTTTACCGTCCCACCCATATTTTAAGGGAAAAGCCCTGTGACGTGGTTGCGCTAGATTGCGTCGTCTTTCGTTGTCTTCAGGTGAAAAACCAAGGAAGTCATCATGTCGGGCGTAAAAGAGGGCGAAATGCAGAGTTCTAAGCCGAAAAAATCTTATGAATTCGACGACCTTTTAGCCATGGTTGGCGGCTTCGGTCGATATACCTTTCTTCTTTATGCATTTATGTGTGTAATGTCTCTTCCCATCGGACTACAGCATCTGGTCCAAGTGTTTTACGGTGCCACTCCAAAGTATTCCTGCGTTGCTTTTTCGAACGCAGAGGGAAACAAAACTTGTACCGTTCTGAAAGGTGGAACGTGCTGTGAAAAATGCACCGACTACAACTTCAGTAATCGTTTGACTAGTGCAGTCACTGATCAATAGCGATCAAGTATCACGCTCACCTTCAACCTGTTTGGGACATCTTCTCGGTTTGAGCGGGTCGATTCGAACAAACTCAAAAACTTCCATCACCACATAAAAAGATTTATATACAAGCGTGGCCATAAAAATCAACTGTCTAGCTCACCTTGAATCTATTTGGCACATCTTCTTGGTTTAGTGGGTAGAGGCGAACAAACTTAAAACTTTCCGCCACCACATAAAAAGGTTTATTTACAACCTTGGCCATAACAGCCATCTGGTAAGTTCCAATCTAAGGAAAAACACAACAAATACCCCACTCAGCAAGCAAATGTTCAAAATAATGTTTAAATGCCGCTTAATTAAGGTACGTTTAACCCCATGGCTGGTTATCGTCTTTACATGCAGCGCTTTAGCGATTAACCCGGAATTGTTGAACTTTCACTCCAAGTATGGGGGATATTTGGAATTACAATCAAATCTCTTTAAGGACACTGTCGAGATTGGCACTACCTGTTAGCCTTAAATAGCTGTGCGCCGTTTGCAGTCCTGATGGGCGCTATCGCGCCCATATTGCCACTGTATACTATATCTCTAGGCCCCCTCTATCACAAAATCCTCCCTTAAAGTTCACGATGTTCAGCTTTTCTTGTCCCTGGAGAAAGTCCTTACATTTTCTCTAGATTCAACCCGCTTAATACCGACAAACGTTATTACGGGCAACGGACACTTGTTTCCTGCCCAATCAACAGATTATCATAGAAAGTCTACCTCGCTAAAGCGGACACTTCATTGTCAGATGCGTGCTGTAATTTGCTTGAGCCCTTTTGAAGGTAAAAAAAAAATCCTTCAGGTGACAGCACGTCCGGGCTATATTTCAACGGATTGGATAAATTGTAGACGTCAATTTCAGACTATTTTAGCATCAAACGACTAATGCAAACATTAAGCTATGTATGAGGTGACATAATCAGCGAAATGAAGGCTTATTGAAGGAAAAAGATATTTAATTTGATGATACTAATTTCCTGTTTTATTTCTTTAGCATTTTGGGTAATAAGGTACTCGCGTTCGTCACAACGCATCCTACTCTGGTCTTACTGTGGCACTAAGGTAGATGTAGATACCAGTGCTTTACGCGATTAATTATGTGGGCCAGCTGCAAGGCATGGTACATGTACATGATAGAGGTTGGTCTCTTAATACGGATATCCTCAAATTAATACAGAATTTGACTTTACAGTAATGATCACACTCGACACACTAAAGATATTCGGGGTCAAACCTGACTCACTTTGTTAATGATCCCACCACTCTCTACCACTCCCTCCGCACCAACCAGCACCAAATCAACCTTCTCCATCATGTAACTGAAATTTAAATCAATATTCATAAATACACAATACGCTGCAGTTGTTCTAGCCGGTACACAGACGTTGCTTTCTATTTATTTTTGAAAATCGACGCGCACGCGAGTGCAGCGAGAGCGACAACGAGGGCGGAGCGCGAGAAAGAAAAAAATAGAACTATTTCCTCTTTTCCCCTCCCCAATCCCCAAGCGCAAACTGGCAATAAATCCCCAGCGGTTTTTATTTTCATACGCGCGCTCAACGATCCGTAAAGAGAAAATAAAGGGTCTGTGAACAGGTTACAGTTGTCCAAACAGTGGATAATGTTATCCACGGGACAAATATTTACCCAACGGTTAGTGCAAATGGTTTCCCTAATACTTATTTTCTGGCTAGTGATTTATCCGCTGGATAGCCCTGTCCAGCTTTGGAACAACTGGGGCCAGGTCCCAGTTGTTCAAAAGGTGGATAACGCTAACAACCAGATAAATCTCAATACAGTGGATAGTGCAATTGGTTTCCCTAATACTTATCCACTGGATAGTGATTTATCGAATAGATTGCCCTGTCCAGCTCTTGAAGAGCTAGGACCAGGTTTGTGCATTGTTTATTTTAATGTAGCCTGAGATAACAGCCGACCTTTTGTGATGCCACCACTGGTGAAATGAAGTCTGAGGAACAACTGAAGAAATTTCATACTGTTGATGTTCACTACTCAGATCTGGGTAATTCTTGTTATTTATGCCAAAAGGGAGATCTGTCTCAATCAATCAGAGGCACTACCCAGATATGGGTAGTGATATCAACAGTATGGAATTTCTGCAGTCGTTCCTCAGACGTCATTTGGAGAGGTCCAGTGGTGACATGGCGAAATGTCAGCAGTTTTCTCATGTTAACATGACATTCCTTTAATGACAAGGAATGATAGATTTGCAAGGATCATTTTCTTTGAAACGAAATTAGAGATTTTGAGAAGAATTTCTTCAAACTTGCGGAAAAAATTCATTCATGATGTATGCTAGGCTGGTGGTGGGCTAACACTGTCTACACCGGAGAAAAACCTAAATGCACATATATTTTCTTTGAGTTTAAATCTGGCCCCACTTGTTCAAAAAAAAAACTCTACTCAAGGAATCAGTGAATAGTGTTCCTCATCATTATGGACAGTTTGCTTTGTCCCTGAGGAAAGAAAGCCCTTATGTTTTCTCTAAATTAACCTGCTTAACCCTTTAAGCCCCAATATCCACATACAAATTCTCCAAACTGATCTCTATACATCTCCTTTAAGAATAATTAGTTAAGAGAATTTGATAAAAGATCAAAGTATTTTCTCTTAGGTGGTCATTTTATTAATTCTCATAACCTCATCTCATGACAGTGTATAGATATTGTTAGGAGAAAATTGATGTGGGCACTATTGGGACTTACAGGGTTAATACAGACACCCCGTTATTACGGACACTATCTAAGGCCCCCTCAGCGTCCTTATTAAGAGGGTTTCACTGTAAATGTATCTAAAAAAAAATGAACAATCCAACAAGTAAATAAATAAAAATGAGAAAATAAATGTCAACAATGAAGTAAATTCGAAATACCATGGATGTACTGTCTTATTGCAGGGTGTCCTTCAAATGCTGCACGTTTTTAAAGTCATTATTTACAGGTTATTTAGCTGAGCAGAGCATGTCAATATTATTGTTTCTCACCCAACTGCTGTGTCCAATATGATTGTAGAGGGAATGTTAAACTCCTTTAACTGATCCTGCATCTTATAACTGAAAACACAATGTCAATGATAAACCTTGCTATTACAGAGATGAACTTCCAAAAACTACATTAATAAACAAATAACATTTTCCTTTTTTCACTCTATGAGAAGGTGTGATTCCGAGGAGAAAGCCCCTTCAAACTAACTGGAATGATTAAATAAGAACAAAAGTCAAAACTGAAAAAAAATCCCTTGACTAGAAGAAAGACTTCCCAAAATCCCTTGAACCAGAATTAAACACTGAACAATCCAATTTTCTACCATTAATTCTTTCTCAACCTGAAAACAAAAACCAGCCTACACTGTATAACATCCAAAAATATTTACATGTAAAATCCAAAAAAACCCAATCCTCAATCTCCAAGAAATTTAATGATTATCTCACCCTGATTTGTCAGGAGAAGACTCTGTGATATAAACATTCAATCGCTTCTTTTGCTCAGTGGCCATTTTAAGAATTTCCACTACAACTCGTGATCGAGAGTGGGTCAGAATTGTCTAAAAACAAAGAACAAAGTTACTCTCACCAAGACACTACATACAAGAATGGGAAGAATGCTCAGAACTTAAAATTAAATATTATTTATTTTTAATAACTTAAAATAATGATAAAAATAATGATGATAATAACTATGATAATAAAAGAAGGATTTTCACAAGTAACATATGTACATACTTTTGACGGAAAAACTTTTCATCCTCAAGATGCCCCTGATCAAAATAATATTATTGGGAATTGGATTTGAAGAGAGAAAGCAATATAATTAGATCTAAAGGCTAGAATCAACAACAATCTCAGCTCAGAAAAAAAATGAAAAGTTAGTGACTCAACCATGAACCTGGGACCAGGCTCCTTTTAGTGGGAGTACAAAAAAAATTGGCCAGCAAAGCAAGCACAGCGAGGGAGATCCCTTTCCTTAATTCCTTGCTCACTTTGCCTACTTCTGGGCACTTGCCCAGTCAATTATTCACAATTTTATCCCACTAAAGAGCCTGGTCTCATCTACTCCCCAATAGCAACAGTGCATCTATGCAGAATAAGTTAACTAGAAGTTTCATTATTAAAGGCAAGAACTCTTAGAAGAAGTTTTAAGTACATTGTACAAGTATTCAAACAAAATCTTACTGCTCCATCCTTAATAAAAGAATCACAAAGTTTGGCAATTTTCTTTCTTGCTGAAGCTGCTCTCTTTAGATACAACTGGCCTGTCAATTACAAAGTACAATGTAAATATTACAATACAGTTGAACAGCTGCCAAACGTCCAAAACAAACCCTTCTTAAAATTTGAAATTGGCTTGCAAGACATATGTTGTTGGTACCGGTTTTCTTAATTTAACTATAGCATCTAAAAGTTTGTTTCTGTGTTACTTCATTAGTGTGTGCAATGTGAGCTAAGAGAGTGAACAATCCATGCACCTATTCTGTAAAATTAATCTGGTCTCTCTCCAGCATTACCTCTTTCAAGTAGAACTCTCTTGCATTCTTGAAAGTCCTATAAAGAGAACATCATCACTTATTTCAACAGTTATAAAAATACATGTACTGTGCTTAGGGAAAAGTTATGTAAAGGAAGATTGGTTTAAAACTGACAATCAAACTGGCTATCTAAAACAAATGACATGAAGTTACACTCTGTACATGGACATGTATATATTGTATGTAATTTTTTATCTCAGATAATTTTATTTTTATTTTTTTTTGTTTCAACTTCATTGATGATGATGATGATCTGATCTATTTCACCTTTAAACCCAAATATTAAATGCAAATTCTCTTTTCTCGTCTTATACACTGTACGTTCTGATAGAAGTAGTAGAGAGAATTGTCAAAATAAATTTCACGAGGATTAATCGTGGGTGATCATCCATTGTATTGTATCCAAGGAGTAATTTGATCATAATCTCTAATGCAGTTACAGGGTTAATTAATGAGTGGTGCAAAAAAGTAAAATTAGAGTGTTATAATGGTCTAGTATTTCATTTGCAATGAATTGATTTTTATCAGTGCACAATGCCTTCAGCAATAATCATTCCACTTGGGCATTTTTTGTGTATAAACTTGTTTCCTTTAGTTGTACAGTGTTAACACCCTCTCATATTAACTGGACTACCAGAGTTAAGTAATGTTAGTGACAAGCAATGGAAAATAAAGTTACCTGTATGACAGTTTAAATGGTGGGAGTTTGGATAAAAAATTCATAAAGAGCTGTACTAGGCAGGGGCATACATGTAGCTACATGCAAGACTCTTAGAGACAAAGCATTCACTGTTGTTGGCCCTTTACTTGGGACTTTAAGATCCAATGACATGGACGGCAATAAGAACGTCAAAAAAAAAAATTGGTTTAATAAGCAAAACAACAGCTTTGCACGTGCCTTTGTTGTACATTTCTTTCCTGTTTTTGCACGACTGCGACGCGAAAATGCCTAATTTTGCGTTTTATGGAGAACGTAAACAAGTAACGAAATTTTGTTTCTCTTTCTGAGCTTGGCTATAGTCCCTTGAAATTAAGCTTCAGGAGGGTTTGCCTACATTTGACAAAGTGAGTGGGTAGGTATAATTGCAATTAAGACTGAAGGAACACAAATTCACTTTTTAAGTGACATTCTCGTTGCCGTCACATTGTTGCATCTTAAAGTCTCTTCTGCTGAACGCTCTTCCTTCAGCTATCAGGAGTAACCAGTGTTCAGGGTTTAAAGCAGGCTCTAATTAATTATTTGTCAGCCATTTGCCCCATACAACAATTCTTGTACAGTGATTGTGTTGTTTCATTTTCAATTTCTCTGAGTATACTGTTTGTTATGTGTTAGTATTTGTCAGCTTTTATCAGCACTTTATTTTTATCTATATTTTTACTCCAGAGCCTAGTCCACGACCAAGAGCAGTGATGTCCTTACTTCATCAATGAGAAAAAAATTATGCAAATTTAGTCTAGATAGCTACATATACACACGAAAACCATTGGGAGACCAGGAAGGCTTGTACCTTTAGAAAAATCTTGGCTATACCCCTACTAGGATCAAGTGAACTAACATGTTATTATTTGCATATACAGCTTTATACAGTAGTGTGTCACATACTGGGTTGTCCAGTGAGGCAAGAGTTATGAATCTGAGGAATAATTCACAGCCTGAAGAAATGGATGTAACAGAGCCTTCTGCTTTCGACAAGGCTTCAATCACTGCCTTCAGATTTTCTCTTAGCTCTGAAAGGGTCTCAGCTGAACAAAAGAATAGATAAATATTAAATAAACAAACAAAAAATAACAGCAATGCTGGTGCATATTTTTGCAGTAAACCTATGGAACAGCGGCATTTTCTTTTATGAGCTTAATACCAAGCAACCACAATATCAGTTTTATTTTACAGTATCACTCGCTTGCTTGAAAACTTCTGACCAACATCCTAATGCCCACCAACTTATGTACAATCAAGTTCATACTTGAATGTAGATAATAATAATTATAACATTCTTTGCCATACCCTTTATTAAGTCTGGATAAAACAGGACAATGACACAAAGAAGAAAAAAGAAAGGAAAGAAAGAAAGAAAATGATAGGACCCCCATTCCAGATATGTGAGTTCAATTTGAGAAAATAATGTATTTCTAGTATTTACTTCTGTGATTAAATTTTCATGCAAGCTTATTTATGCAAATATTAAATATTAAAATCCAGGCCCCAGTTGTTCAAAAGGTAGATAGCACTATCTACTGGATAAATCTCTATCCAGTGCACAGTGCAATCGGTTTCCCTTATACTAAGCCACTGGATAGTAGCGCTATCCAACATTTGGACAACTGGGGCCAGGTTCTCAGTAGCAGGATTTTAATGTAAATTTCTTTGTACATCTCTATCCAGGAGATAACCTAGTTGGTTTCCTAAACACGTATCTGTTGGATAGTGATTTCTTCAGTGGATAACCCTGTATCCAACGTTTGAACAACCGGTACATGGGGGAAGGGAGGGTGGGAGGACTGTTGCTTTTTTTGTTGCATTGAGAAGTTTGTTTTGATTACGGAACCTCGTGGGGACAGTCACGCCTTATGTTTAGATTCAAACTGATCCTTAAACAAAAACAATTAAAGAAAAACGACACGAAGTGGAATTATCAAGCTAATGTTGCGTTATTCAAACCTGAGTTTTGGTTCATGAACTCTAGCAACGTGTGAATGGCTGCTACTGCCGTCGACATCCCAGGATCGTCTTCCATGCATTTTTTGAAGAACTCTACAGCCTCTTAAGATCAAAATACAAGCTGCACGTTACAACAATGATACTNTTGTTCAAAAGGTAGATAGCACTATCTACTGGATAAATCTCTATCCAGTGCACAGTGCAATCGGTTTCCCTTATACTAAGCCACTGGATAGTAGCGCTATCCAACATTTGGACAACTGGGGCCAGGTTCTCAGTAGCAGGATTTTAATGTAAATTTCTTTGTACATCTCTATCCAGGAGATAACCTAGTTGGTTTCCTAAACACGTATCTGTTGGATAGTGATTTCTTCGGTGGATAACCCTGTATCCAACGTTTGAACAACCGGTACATGGGGGAAGGGAGGGTGGGAGGATTGTTGCTTTTTTTGTTGCATTGAGAAGTTTGTTTTGATTACGGAACCTCGTGGGGACAGTCACGCCTTATGTTTAGATTCAAACTGATCCTTAAAAAAAACAATTAAAGAAAAAACAATACGAAGTGGAATTATCAAGCTAATGTTGCGTTATTCAAACCTGAGTTTTGGTTCATGAACTCTAGCAACGTGTGAATGGCTGCTACTGCCGTCGACATCCCAGGATCGTCTTCCATGCATTTTTTGAAGAACTCTACAGCCTCTTAAGATCAAAATACAAGCTGCACGTTACAACAATGATACTCCATTCGTTTACCTCGAAATATTAACTTAATTTTGCACAACAATGCGTACACGTACCTTCGTCCTCCATGTTGTCTTCCTTCTTTTAGATAACAATACTTCATACATAACGGACAACCTTCTTAAAAAAGTAAGCCGCAGAGATTTCGTGGGCTCATGAAATAATTTTGCGGGGAAAGGGAAGGGGGACTGGGGTAAAAAATGTTAAAAGAAGATCGCTATGTCAGTATAAATTTAAGGTTTCTGTGCCTTGTTGTTGTTGTTGTCCTCGATCGTCGTAGCTGTCGATCGTCTGTGGCGTCTTGGTCGTGTCAAAAGTCATCGCGTCTTCGAGTCATTGCAGCCAGAATTGACCCTTTTTCTCTTTTGATAAGCCTGTATAACGCTAGCCTCCCCGCAGACGTCCGTTGGGGTTCGTTTGTTGTCACGCATTCATTTCTTCATTTCTTCTGGGGAGAAATGAATGCGTGACAACAAACGAACCCCAACGGACGTCTGCGGGGAGGCTAGTATAACGCTAGTAATTTAGGGACGATTTGCTATAAAAGGTGTTCAAAATCACTGCTGAAGAATACAAAAATCCCCCGTCGGGTTGACGTACGTCGCTTAAAAACGTCACTGCTTAAGACGTGAGGAGGGCTGTTGCTGTTCTCATTTCCGGCGAAGAAAGAAAACTGATCAGCTCCAGAGGGGATAGCAACAAAGTTTCATGCGTGGAGGCTCCGCCCCAAAATTGTCCAACCCCTTACCCTTCTATATACCATTTTTGACAGAAAAGGTACCCCTTTCTTCGTATACCTTTTATTTTTTAACTGCTGTAAATGCAAGGTCTTTAAAATATGATAAAATCACAAAACAATAACTTTTCTTCGACATGTTTTCACAGTCATATAATGCATCTGTTAGCCTTTTTGGGCTATTTTACCGACCCAAATGACAGGTTTCCCTATACTTTCATATACTTCAACAAGTGAAACCCGCTACCCTTTAATATACCTGAAGCCTGAACAAGGTACCCCTTTCGAGCGGAGCCCTTCCCGTAAAGGCCATCGGGGAATAGGTTTGCATGATTAGCAAAACAACAACTTTGCACGTGTATCACACTTTTTTGTACATTTCTTTTCCGTCACTGCGCGACTACGACGTGAAAATGCCTTGAAAATGCCTAATTTCTCGTTCTATGGAGAACCGTAACCAAGCTAAACCCGAGTCCCCGAGTCAGATAGTCAGTTCTGTTAAAGATAGTTCTGTTAAAGCTTTTTAGAAAACTAAACTCCGGTGGTGAACAGGTTTCCAAAACGCTAGTTTGCTTAATTTTTGATTCTTAATTATTGTTCTTAAACCTCCTCTATCATGTCAAAAAAGAGATTTTCTTTAAAAAAAAAAACCTTTTTTTTAAAGACATGAACTTTTAATACTACCAAAATGAGACATGCTATAATTCTTCAAAATTTTTGGGTCCTGCTTAAGTCGAATGGGCGTACAATATTGCTTGTAATCAAACTGATAAAAAACAATTTAATTCTTTATGCCGTGACCCTAGACAAGCACCCTACACACCTAATATACCTCGTACTTTAAGTCATGATCTGAGACAAGAATGCTACACAACATAATTGATTTTTTAAACTCACCCACGGATAAGAAATGAGGAGTCTAGTGGAATCCATTGATGTTTCCAGTGGAATATAGTTATTTATTGGACAACCCTCTTATAATTTGGCTTATTGCTGCCCACTAATTTTTTTTTTTACTTTAACTTTTATGTTGAACCCTGGGACAGGGTAACTTTTTTCAAGTGGCGCTCTCAAGAAAGGGACAAGAGGCCGCTAAAGGTTGTCCACTCAATAGAGGTTCTGTTGCAGGTGAATTTACTGACAATTTTGTCCACCTTAGTAATCACAGGGGCGGATCCAGGGGGAGGGTGCAGGGGGTGCGCACCCCCCCGTGGGATGACCTGCGGCCGCTTTCTAATTAACACTGTGCAGTAGCTTGACAGACATACAAAATCTGCTGTATCGTTTGATATGTATTCTCAGCAGTTTACATTATGTTATTTCCTAGTCAAAAGCCCTCTTCTTCGTATTCGCTTTTACAATTTTTTACGTCATCAGTCAGTTAGTGGTGCACCCCCTCCTAAGAAAAATCCTGGATCCGCCCCTGAATCAGCCCCTAAATAAAGGAAGGCTGTGTGATATGGGGTGGGGGTGGGGGAAAACTTTCTAGAAATTCAAGATAACAAAATAATACATGACATTATCAGGACAAAAAGACACCAGAATGTCTATAAAGTGACTCTGTAAAGGATGCAAACCTGTAGAACCACATGTGTTCTCAATATTTTATCAAGAGCAGACTTCTTGCAAAGTTTCACTGCAGCTTGTATTGCTTCAGAAGATAACTGAACTTTCATTGGACTGAAAATACTAATTAACTTGAAAAATTATCAACTCCACAGTGTGTTTGTAATTATACTTCTCTTTTAAAAACTAAATAACTGAAAGCCAATATTTCTAAACAATGCCAAATTTTGCTATGGTAATCATTTCCATTACAAGGAGAAGTTAACAAAATGAAAAAGAAAATAACAAACCGACTCACTCTTCTCTACTTAAAGTCCACGTTTCTCAATTCTTTGCCAAACGTTGGGATATCTAGCCACTTTGAAATGGGCATCTCGCAGACACAGCGGCACCCAATGGATCTGTCCCTCGAAATATCTGTTCTTCAGGCACATTTTTGCTGGCTGGGAGATGTGAAAGAAATAATAGTCCTTGGAAGGAAAGTGTTGCTGGGAAAAAGATAATTCAGGGTGTCAGAGGGGATTTGAAGTCTAGAATAGCTGCTACGGGTTACTTGTATGGGTTACTTACCACTCAAGATCTGAATTGTGCCCTGTGAAACTTCCCAGTAAGTCAGGTTGCAGGTTGTAAGGTTGCTGGCTGGGAACTCTTCCATCAGTCTTGCTGGGAGTGAGGAACAGATAATTTTTTTCCAGCAATCTCCCAAAATGCTTAAAATAGTCTCAGAAAACTTTATTCACGCTTTATTGTTGTTTTTAGGTCTTTTTCACAAAATTTCCCGTTGGGTGCCCCTGCAGACATTTCTTCACCAGTAGTCAGAGCAAAGTGTACGAAAAATGCTTCGCATCAGCTTGCTTTATTTAATTTACAAACCTTACAGTCGCATAGACCGGACAGTCTTTATCGAGGACTCCTTTGCATGTATAAAATGTTTGTTTCCGCAGACGGATTTGATTGAGCTGAAGCCTTATCTTGTGTACCTTGTTGCTGAAGCCGATATCGCTTGCGTTTAGGCAGAATAAGCAAACTTCCCCTCCTTTCAAGGCTTTGCCGATTGGCGTTCAAGAGCAAAATATTTGATTTACCATGCTTAATAATAACTTGACAACCCGTTGGGTACTGTCTTTCCCTCCATTTATATTTACCTTTTGACACCTGGTTCTACTGCTCATGCTCAGATGGTCAACCAAAGAAAACTCGAGTTGAAACGGATTATCCCAGATGTCCCCGTTGCCCGTTCCGCTGGACAAAGCAACGCGGACTCTGGGAATGAGATTGTAGCCATCAGCGCTTGATCCAACCTCGTCCCCAGGGCTTTTCCCTTAAAAAAATGGGTGGGGCGGGAAAAGGTGATATTTTCCCGTCCCACCCATATTTTAAGGGAAAAGCCCTGTGACGAGGTTGCGCTAGATTGCGTCGTCTTTCGTTGTCTTCCGGTGAAAAACCAAGGAAGTCATCATGTCGGGCGAAAAAGAGGGCGAAATGCAGAGTTCTAAGCCGAAAAAATCTTATGAATTCGACGACCTTTTAGCCATGGTTGGCGGCTTCGGTCGATATACCTTTCTTCTTTATGCATTCATGTGTGTAATGTCTCTTCCCATCGGACTACAGCATCTGGTCCAAGTGTTTTACGGTGCCACCCCAAAGTATTCCTGCGTTGCTTTTTCGAACGCAGAGGGAAACAAAACTTGTACCGTTCTGAAAGGTGGAACGTGCTGTGAAAAATGCACCGACTACAACTTCAGTAATCGTTTGACTAGTGCAGTCACTGAGGTAAGGGGTACTTCTTAATTGACTTACGATCCCTTAGATTCACCAGTTTCGAACAATAAGCTGATAAGAAATAAACCTGAATATTAAAGTAATTGCTTCTCTGTACAGTTTACACCGTCACCTGAAAAAGTATTCCCGTACTTCTAAAGAGAGCTATAGAAGGATGAAGTGAAACTATCTATCATACAGTTGTCATATGATATAAGAAAACTAATCAAACTTCACCTCTGATTTTCTTTTAAAATTGTGAATTATACCTTCAGATAAACCTTCTCATAAAAGCCGCTAAGTATACGAGTCCAATTATCGAGGCTGAGCTGAAATCAAATTACCGGAAATTGGAAAAATATTCTTTTATTAATACTTTCATAATTTTCTTGCAGTTCTATTTACACTGCACGCTAAATGTCCCGTCGGAAACACCAAAATGACACCGCAAAACTTCTGTTTTTCTTGCTTGGTTATATATACTTGTACTTAACTCGTCGACACACCGAAACTCGAACATAGAGTTTACTTACTCTGTAATGAATAAAGATTATTTCTTTTGCAATACACGTTGTTCTATTCCCCGTATACTTTCCTATGTCACAGCCAGTATTTCAATATAAGTTTCAATATTTTATTCTTGTCTTTAAAACGGAACTCAGCTTTATCAGAATTACATCCCAAGATTTCAAATTTGGTCAAATTTAACACAATAACTTTCAAATCGCAAAAGCTCTGTAGAGATGAGTGTTTATTCAGTCGTTTTACAATTTGTTTTACCGGTAATTAAACCTTAGATGGGAAATACGAAGCTGCTCAAACACTTGCCTTTTCGGTTTGATTTTTGTAATTACTTCGGTAGGTTTTTTTAATTCTATTTTGTTATTATTATTTCATTTGTTATTCCAAAGTACAACAACTACAATTATTTTCTTTTACCAAAGATCGTTTACACCTCCTCTTAGTTAATTACCTACTCCGAAACACATTGTCAAGGATTTAAATCACATATTATATACGTTTTTATGGAAAGGTAAAGATAAAGTAACAGGTGCGTCAACAATAAATAATTATGAAGAAGGAGGCATCAAAATGGTGGATATTGAAAGTTTGATAAATCTCTCCGTCTTTCCTGGCTTAAACGAATATTTAGTGACAACTCAGGCGCGTGGAAAAACTACCTAGAATACATCTTGAGAGATTCTGGAGGTCTAATGCTTTTTAAATGCAATTATAATGTTACGGATCTTCAAATTACCTCTACCTTTTATTTAGAACTACTTAAATGGTGGTAGGAACGGCTCCAAGAAGATAACGATTGGCATTATGTAATTTGGAATAATCGAGATTTTAGAATAGACGACAAGCCCTTTTTCTACAAGAAATATTAGGACATTGGTATCTGAGAAATAGGAGACTTACATTTTGATCTCAGCAATACGGAATCCTACGAACAGATCGCAAAAAAAATGTTAAAAAGACAAACTTCCTTGAATGGACTAGTATGAAACATTCAATACCAACCAACTTAAAAGTTCTTAATCGATCGATTCGAGTACCTTTAATGCAATACCTTCCTTTAAAATCAATGGCGGCGTTTTCGACATAGCAAAAAAGAAATAAAAAGATTTTTATCCTTTTTTGATCAAAAAGAAGGCTTGTCTCCCAAATTATGTACAAAAACTGAAGTTGGATTTTAATCTATCTAATGACGATCTCAGAAAGGCATTTCTCTTGCCCCATTCTATCGTGTTTGAACCTTAAATCAAAGCCTTTCAATTCTATACTTTTACCAACTCAAAGTTGTTTAAGATTGGGTACAGGACAGACAACTTGTACTCTTTTTGCAAAAGGGAATCAGAAACTATTAGACATTTCTCTTGGGACTGCCCTTATTCGACTCCATTCTGGAAATGTGTTGAATCATATTATTTGGGGTTGCGAAAACAACTAGTTCACCTAACATTAAAGGAAATTTGGATCGGCTTTTTAACTTCCGAATGCCCCTTGCTTAATCATCTTAATACTTATAGGGAAAATATATTTATGAAGTTGCAGAAGGAATGAAGTACTCCCAACCATAAACAGTTGTATAGTTAGAGTAAACGGTAAATATGAAATAGAAAAATATATTTGCACTAAGAATAAGAGTTTACAAAAATTAATGGACAAATGGACGTTGTAATCTAGTTAATTGTCTTCTTTTACAAAAATGATTAGTTTCTTCTTTTTTGAATAGCACTTGTAAAATAACAGTAGGCATACCTTGGTGGTGATTGTGGAATTGCATGTGTGCTTAGGTGTGAAGTCCGTTTGTGCATGTATGCCTTGTGATATTACTTCGGTAGGTTACAGAAGGGAAATGGTTTAAACTTTCCTATTCGCAATTAGCAGAACTAAGAAACGCTGGAAAGTCGTTGATTGAATGACACATAGTCGCTTATTCACATCCTTGATTTCTGTATGTTATTATTGTAAGTACTCAAACTGTTTTAGATACTTTGGAGATTATTTTATGCCGTTTCTTCACTCCGAAGTAGGCGAAGTATTGTTCTTGTCTATGGAAACTGTATTTGGAATTTCAAATTAGTCTATAGTATAGTGTACTGATTTCTAATCAGTATTCAAGAGAAAAGCGCGCGGAATACGTAATGACTTTTCATGACACCTGTGTTTACTTAACATTGAGCGAAATACTGAGTCGACCTTTTAACTTTTTTTTAAACTTTAATATATTTTCCATCTAGTTTTTTATTCTGCTGTAAATCTCATTTGAGTTGAAAGAATCGCCGAGTGTATATTTGAACTGCATTAACATATCGAGAACACATATAAGCGAGCTTGTACATTGTTCAATTTGAATTACTTGAGTTGTCTACGAGTTAACTTCGTGAGAAGATTAACATACTTGAAGAGTTCCAGTCCTGTCGAAGTCATTTCTGCTAATTTGCTCTACGGACAAGTTACTAACGACCCTGTACCTCTGGCATTGTTTGTGACGTTGGCCGCGCAGTCCAGCGAAGTGTTCTACCAAGCTTTAGTCCCATTCCGTCCTTCAGTTATTCCAAATCGCCCCGTCAATTATCGTTCTATTTTAGTCCAGCAGATTGGTGCAGAATTTTAGATGAATTGTGGGATTTATGGTAAAAGCATCAAATTTGGCACACGGGTAGAGATACATTGGGTAATTAATTTTAGCTGAGGACCCACCTGGGATCCGCCCCCTAATTTGTATAATTTAAGGTAGAAGTTTGACCCAGTGGTTGGTTAGCATGAAAACGAGGCTGACTCGAGACTTGCATGTTAGCGTGTCAGGGTATTGTATATGAGAAGCAATAACGCTCACAAATGATAATTGATAGCCAAAAAGGTTGTCACAGCGAGAAATGGGGTAAAAGAGGATTATTTTGGCAGTTATGAAGTACTTCATATCGGCTCAGCACGCTCACAAGCTTTCGTATGATGATATCAAATAGATTGCTAGTTTCTTATTTCGCAATGATGATAAACGATTCAAAGGTTTGATAACTTCACCTTTCCAAGATCACTGTTTCAGTTATGAAAAATTAATGCACATGCGGTAGGCAAATAATAAAACGTGGAAATGCTAAAAAAAACAAAAAAACAGTAAGCTTTGGCTAAGAAGATTCAGTAGATCTGTTCATCAAGTTGTGGAGAAAGAAGCATCATTATAATGTTTGGAGGGTTGCATACTGACCTTGCCGAGGCGATCTCAAGGCATTGGGGCACTGGATTGAGAGTGGTGGTTAGACAAGCTGTATTTAATTAGTGCAGTTTGGCATAACAACCCCTGGAATAGACGACTCCTTTCTCACGCAAGGCGTCACAAGTTCACTCACCTGAAACGCCCACGAGATTACTGCTTGTGCTTTGTACATATTAATGGATAAGATGTATAAGAACTACTTGGAAAGCATCTCTGAAAGAGAAGAACCCAAAACGTTCACAGCGGAGTGGCGCAAGCAAGCAGAGCTTTTTAGTCCTTAGTTACACCAGTGGTCTCTCACCCTTCACTTTGATCTTACCATATTGATATTTATATACGCATAATGTTTTTTTTCTAGTTCAATTTTGTTTAAACCCATTCAGCTATTAATTCACGGTCTATAAACAGTTAAAAATCGATGTCAAATATAATATTGTACTAGAGCCTCGTTTTCATGCTAACCAACCAGTGGGTCAAATTTTTACCTTAAATTATACAAATTAGGGGGCGAATCCCAGGTGGATCCATAGCTAAAATTAATTACCTAATGTATCTCTACCTTTCTGCCAAATTTGATGCTTTTACCATAAATCCCACAATTTTCACAACAATCTGCTGGACTATTTGTCCAGCGCAACGCCGCGCATTTTATGAGAGTTAAAGACGAGGAACACCCTAACAGCTTAACGTCACGCCTATATACTTTTACGAAAGTAATGCATCGTATACACATCACAATCGTATTTTGTACAATATTGATCTTTTTGGGATATGCAATACAATCGGTGACAATATTAGTTTCCGATTAGTTAATTAAGACACTTCAATTACAAGGACATTTCTGACGTTTTGCCGACATAATCTACTTCTAAAGCGACAAATAAAGCTTTACCTCACCCACGCCCTCTAAACAATGTTGTTCCCTTACTGCTCAAGAAGGAAACGACAAACAACCTTATTTTGAACGGAGGGGGTAGAGAAGGGTACAGCCTGGGGGGGAGCAGATTGTTTTATTCTCCAAAATATACCCCATTCTCAACAATTTTGTTTGTCAGTGTTCACTAAACGATAATACAAGTTGTCAGTATGCGAAGAATCCTGATCCTAAAGAGAGACGCAAGACGACGATATTTAGGCTTATACCCAGCTTACATGCTTTAGGTAACTTATCAGTTGGATTTCACTTGACTTCGAAAACATATTCAGAACTGGGGATGCAAGTTTAAGCCACTACGTTGCTTTGAATATGGTTTAATTTATCAAGGGTTATTGAAAAGAAAAAGAACTCAAGAAATTTAAGGGCTCGAGTAGCTGTTTCTTTAGAAGCAAATTAATTTTAATGAAGTGAGTGCCCTCTTATTGGTCAGAGTAGATACTGAGATCTGTTATTGGTCGCTGAATAAAAATACCCAGATTGTCTTCCAAAATCGTCATTTAGTACTTGCAATATGCAACAAGTCACGAGGGCTTTGTTCACTAGCTCTTGAGATGGAGCGCGAAACCATTAAGCGCAACCACCAGCCAAAATTGGGGATAAGGACTGCAATATCTAATATTTGTATTTTCTGTATGGTTGCTTGAAGCGACGTACATGTACAGGTATCTCTGATTATTGTTTTTGAGTGCAATGTTGTTCTGTCTGTTCAGACAATATCATGCACAGAATATTTAGCAACTTCTTTTTACCTTGGTAACAAAAGCTTGCGATGACAAACGCTTATGTGTAGACTATTCACGGTCTCCTATTTTTCCGTAAGGTCGTCGGGATCGAGCGTTTTACATTGAAACCAAGATTCCTGCCCATAAGGGTGGATGCCCCAGGAGTTGTACTGCGGATTTCAAGTGACGGGGGATGATCGAATGGGACAAAAATCAAAACCCAAAAAAATCCCTAGGACTTCCTACAAAACCTCAAAAAAATCCCACCCAGGGCTGGGTGTTCGATCCCGACGATCTTAAACGGAAAAATAGGGGACTGTGAACAGTTTACCTAGGTAAAATGCGAGTACAAAAGGTGGATCGTAGGCAGCCTTTTTTCCTCCAGCTAAGTTGACAAGGAACTGAGTCAAAGTACTAGGTGGGTGGTGTGAAGATTGATGTTTGTTTGTGTGGGGTGGACACAAGAAGAGGATTAGGGGGGGGAAGAGGGGGCGGCCCCCCCCCCCCCCCCCCCTGATTTTACCTACGGTTTTCTAAAACAACTGGTATTCTGCAAAAAAAAAAAAAAAACTATGTGGTTTATTGGTGTTGAACTAGAGCAAGAGACGAGTGCACCCCCCTCCTAAAAAAAATCCTGCATGCGCCCCTGAGTGCGTTTGGTCATGTATGCTTTGTGATATAATCAGTATTCAAGAGAAAAGCGCGCGGAATACGTAATGACTTTTCATGACACCTGTGTTTACTTAACCTTGAGCGAAATACTGAGTCGACTTTTTAACTTTTTTTTTAACTTTAATATATTTTCCATCTAGTTATTTACTCTGCTGTAAAACTCATTTGAGTTGAAAGAATCGCCGAATGTATATTTGAACTACATTAACATATCGAGAACACATATAAGCGAGCTTGTACATTGTTCAATTTGAATTACTTGAGTTGTCTACGAGTTAACTTCGTGAGAAGATTAAACATACTTGAAGAGTTCCAGTCCTGTCGAAGTCATTTCTGCTAATTTGCTCTACGGACAAGTTACTAACGACCCTGTGCTTCTGGCATTGTTTGTGACGTTAGCCGCGCAGTCCAGCGAAGTGTTCTACCAAGCTTTAGTCCCATTCCGTCCTTCAGTTATTCCAAATCGCCCCGTCAATTATCGTTCGATTTTAGTCCAGCAGATTGGTGCAGAATTTTAGATGAATTGTGGGATTTATGGTAAAAGCATCAAATTTGGCACACAGGTAGAGATAAGTTGGGTAATTAATTTTAGCTGAGGACCCACCTGGGATCCGCCCCCTAATTTGTATAATTTAAGGTAGAAATTTGACCCACTGGTTGGTTAGCATGAAAACGAGGCTGACTCGAAACTTGCATGTTAGCGTGTCAGGGTATTGTATATGAGAAGCAATAATGCTCACAAATGATAATTGATAGCCAAAAAGGTTTTCATAGCAAGAAATGGGGCAAAAGAGGATTATTTTGGCAGTTATGAAGTACTTCATATAGGCTCAGCACGCTCACAAGCTTTCGTATGATGAAAATAAATTGCTAGTTTCTTATTTCGCAATGATGATAAACGATTCAAAGGCTCAATAACTTCACCTTTCCAAGTTCATTTTCAGTTATGAAAAATTAATGCACATGCGGTAGGCAAATAATAAAACGTGGAAATGCTAAAAAAAAAATAAATAAATAAGCTTTTGCCAAGAAGATTCAGCAGATCTGTTCATCAAGTTGTGGAGAAAGAAGCATCATTATAATGTTTGGAGGGTTGCATACTGACCTTGCCGAGGCGGTCTCAAGGCATTGGGACACTGGACTGAGAGTGGTGGTTAGACAAGCTGTATTCAATTAGTGCAGGTTGGCATAACAACCCCTGGAACAGACGACTCCCTTCTCAAGCAAGGCGTCACAAGTTCACTCACCTGAAACGCCCATGAGATCACTGCTTGTGCTTTGTACATATTGATGGATAAGATGTATAAGAACTACTTGGAAAGCATCTTTGAAAGAGACGAACCCAAAACGTTCACAGTGGAGTGGCGCAAGCAGGCAGAGCTTTTTAGTCCTTAGTTACACCAGTGGTCTCTCACCCTTCACTTTGAGCTTACCATATTGATATTTATATGCATAATGTTTTTTTTCTAGTTCAATTTTGTTTAAACCCATTCAGCTATTGATTCACGGTCTATAAACAGTTAAAAATCGATGTCAAATATAATATTGTACTAGAGCCTCGTTTTCATGCTAACCAACCAGTGGGTCAAATTTTTACCTTAAATTATACAAATTAGGGGGCGAATCCCAGGTGGATCCATAGCTAAAATTAATTACCTAATGTATCTCTACCTTTCTGCCAAATTTGATGCTTTTACCATAAATCCCACAATTTTCACAACAATCTGCTGGACTATTTGTCCAGCGCAACGCCGCGCATTTTATGAGAGTTAAAGACGAGGAACACCCTAACAGCTTAACGTCACGCCTATATACTTTTACGAAAGTAATGCATCGTATACACATCACAATCGTATTTTGTACAATATTGATCTTTTTGGGATATGCAATACAATCGGTGACAATATTAGTTTCCGATTAGTTAATTAAGACACTTCAATTGCAAGGACATTTCTGACGTTTTGCCGACATAATCTACTTCTAAAGCGACAAATAAAGCTTTACCTCACCCACGCCCTCTAAACAATGTTGTTCCCTTACTGCTCAAGAAGGAAACGACAAACAACCTTATTTTGAACGGAGGGGGTAGAGAAGGGTACAGCCTGGGGGGGAGCAGATTGTTTTATTCTCCAAAATATACCCCATTCTCAACAATTTTGTTTGTCAGTGTTCACTAAACGATAATACAAGTTGTCAGTATGCGAAGAATCCTGATCCTAAAGAGAGACGCAAGACGACGATATTTAGGCTTATAACCAGCTTACATGCTTTAGGTAACTTATCAGTTGGATTTCACTTGACTTCGAAAACATATTCAGAACTGGGGATGCAAGTTTAAGCCACTACGTTGCTTTGAATATGGTTTAATTTATCAAGGGTTATTGAAAAGAAAAAGAACTCAAGAAATTTAAGGGCTCGAGTAGCTGTTTCTTTAGAAGCAAATTAATTTTAATGACTTGAGTGCCCTCTTATTGGTCAGAGTAGATACTGAGATCTGTTATTGGTCGCTGAATAAAAATACCCAGATTGTCTTCCAAAATCGTCATTTAGTACTTGCAATATGCAACAAGTCACGAGGGCTTTGTTCACTAGCTCTTGAGATGGAGCGCGAAACCATTAAGTGCAACCACGAGCCAAAATTGGGGATAAGGACTGCAATATCTAATATTTGTACTTTCTGTATGGTTGCTTGAAGCGACGTACATGTACAGGTATCTCTGATTATTGTTTTTGAGTGCAATGTTGTTCTGTCTGTTCAGACAATATCATGCACAGAATATTTAGCAACTTATTTTTACCTTGGTAACAAAAGCTTGCGATGACAAACGCTTATGTGTAGACTATTCACGGTCTCCTATTTTTCCGTAAGGTCGTCGGGATCGAGCGTTTCTCATTGAAACCAAGATTCCTACCCATAAGGGTGGATGCCCCAGGAGTTGTACTGCGGATTTCAAGTGACGGGGATGATCGAATGGGACAAAAATCAAAACCCAAAAAAATCCCTAGGACTTCCTACAAAACCTCAAAAACCCAGGGCTGGGTGCTCGATCCCGACGATCTTAAACGGAAAAATAGGGGACTGTGAACAGTTTACCTAGGTAAAATGCGAGTACAAAAGGTGGATCGTAGGCAGCCTTTTTTCCTCCAGCTAAGTTGACAAGGAACTGAGTCAAAGAAGGTAGGTACCGGAAAGTTGAATCGAGGAAGCGATGATGATGATATGCCTCAAACTTTCTTTTTTGCCGTGTTTAACTTAGTTTCTGATTTTCTTTCACAGTGGGACCTAGTATGCGATCGAAGGCACCTAAAAGCTATGACCCAGTCCGTTTACATGGGAGGACTATTGGTTGGTTCAGTGGCCTTCAGTACACTGTCTGATCATTTTGGTCGCAAGGTCGTAGTTTTCCTCAGTATCTTAATCATGGTGAGTATTGCACGAACCGTTTTTGAAATGTAATTGTTTGAATTGTTTTTCGTGAATAGCTGGAACCAATGCCATCAAACAGGTGACTTCGTAATCTTACACTCTTTTTGTTTGACGTCAAAAGTTGGTGCACAAAGTTTAAGGCCACGTAAGATGGGTGGAGGGAATCAAAATTTTCATCCTTACGATGAAATAAATATTGGATGAAGTTTAAACATCGTTTATCCACAATACAAAGTGACACAAAAAATACATGCGTAATTCGTGTTTGACAAACTCTTTCACTTGTCGGCAAATTAAAAACGTATTCACATTAACCAATATTCTGTAACATATATACACCAACTGTGGCCAGTTAGCAGGGGAGACATATTCAACGAAATGAAAAACAATAAAGTACTAACCACGAGGTGAGCTAAAAAAAAGATTGAATAAATTGGATCACTATTAACATGCACAGAATTCTTGTCCAAGTTTTCGATTGGCCTTGACTCGACTTGACGGCCACTTAATATCTCATGATACCATGCCTGACAGCGAAAAAGCATCCATAAAATGGCCTCTAGTTGTTTTTACAAATCATAAAAAGAAATTATCAATGTTCGTGCACGGAAAAGTTCAGCAGTTATTGCGCTAGCACTTCTTAGATATGAGATGGTCCTAGCCACAAATCATATAACGGCGCACTCGTAAAACGGATCGCTTGTTATCCGAAGTTTACTTGAATATAATTAACTAAAGGTATAGTACTATCCAAGGATTATAGTACAGTCAACACTTGCTAAGAAGCGGACACCTCTGTGAATGGCACTATATGTGTTCGTCTTATAGAGAGTCAATTAAAAGGAGGAAAAGAAATCATTGTATGGCAGCCTACTCCTATTGTTTCTGCTTTGTCTCTTGAGAGTGTGAGAATTGTTATTTGCTGTAAATTTCATAAGAGACCGAAAACGGCGGTAGCCTTTAAAACCTCAATTTTGCTGGCAAAGCCTAAGGGTACCCCACTTTTCACAGGCGACGTTTTTCAATAGGCGCGTTTCTGCAATGTGCATGGACCAACTCTAGGTGTCCGTTTTAAAGAGGTGTCCGTCTTAAAGAGAGTCAAAGAATATGACTGAAGAACGACAAGGACCAACTCAAGGTGTCCGTCTTAAAGAGGTGTCCGCTGAGAGGGTGTTGACTATTTTACGTATATCTTTTTACCACAGGGTGTAGGTGGTACAGTTTCCGGCGTCGCCGACTGTCTTTCATTGTTCTCATTGTTTCGTTTCGTGACTGGAGCTGCTACAGCCGGCTGCCTTCTCGTTCGATTCGTCTACTGCATGGAGATCATACAAATTGACCAACGTACTACCGCAGGGATTGTAAACAACATTTTTGTCAGCATAGGCTTTTGTATCCTGTCGTTCCTCGCTTATCTTATTCGTGACTGGAGGTATCTTATGCTGACTGTGTCTCTACCAGGACTTCCACTGCTTCTCTGTATGTGGTAGGGATGTTTTGCTTGTTGCTCCCTTACGATGCATGCTCACCAGAAATCCCGACCAGAAGTATATAGCGGAATAAGTAGCACGCAATCATTTTAATCCTAAGGTGTCCGTAGGCTTCGATAAGTTACAAGGGAGTTAAAGCAGCCGACGTTTTTGAGCGACGCAGGTCGACCGGAAGTTGACTTTTTGAGCTCTTGAGCAACGATTTTGAACAAATTTTTAGGCAAATCGTTTCTGTAAGGGTAAAGACACTTAGCAATACAAACTTGGTAGCGTCAAGGTATTTAAAAAGAGGAAAAGGCTCACTTCCGGTTGACGTGCGTCGCTCGAAATTGTCGCTGCTTAAGCAATTCGCCACTTTAGAAACGAGAAGGAAGCTGGGCCGGGTTTACATACGCAAAGACTTATGGGTATGTTGCTAGAGACGGGGGAAAAAATTGACCAATAGCTGAGCGGCGCGTCCCCAGTAACGATCCTGGAAACAACTGCGGGACGTATTTCGGCTCCAGTGCCTTTCTCGTCTCTAAAAAGGCGAATAAAAGCCTAGGAAAAGTAACAAGGGTTGTGGGAAATGCCTGGAAGTAACACGTGTATTAGACTTTTCTCAAAAAAATTAACTTCGTCAACTAAATATACGCCAGAGATTTAAGGTTCAAATTAACCTTTCTGGCCTTTATCCCTTTTGATCTTATCGTTATAAGCGGTCGGGGAAGATCAATAAAACCTCACCCTGTGATAAAAAAAAATGATTTAAAACTAAAAGCTATTTTCTACATTTTTATGCAAGGATGTGTGAAACACAGCAACTAAAACCTAACGATTTAGCTTCCTTTCCGACCGGTACTCGAAAATATAGCATTATCTGATGGAGACGTATGTGTTCCATGGCCTGCACAACATAAGTTCCTTATTTAGCTTTTTCGGGAAGGTTTGGGAATGATATTGACCTGGGCCATTTTCAAAAACCATTCTAAGATTGCACTTGGTAAGCAAACATCTTTTGTTCTGTTCGTTTATTTCAAAGGATTATTCCAGAGTCCCCTCGCTGGTTGATCGCCAAGAATCGCCTGGACGAAGCTCATGAGCTGCTAATGAAATATGCCAAGAAAAATCGAGTTGATATCGACTCAGCACAACTCAAACACGCCATACAAGAGTTTAAGAAGGAAGAAGAAAAGAATGGCAATCAGATTAAGAAAACCTATGGTATCCTAGACATGATCAGAACACCGAGGCTTAGGAAAAGAACTTTGATTTGTGGATTTAACTGGTGGGTCTGTATATAACTGTAAATCTTCACATGTGACTACTTTCTTGCTTTCGGCAGCGGCCAACTCAGTTCTGCGATGACTTCTCAGATGGACAAAACTACGGCGGAGATCGATCTCAGTTGCAATGCTTTGTGCCTGTATGTTGAGCGCACTTTAAGACTTGACCAACAGAATTCCAAATTTTTGGATCCTTTTGAGTCTCTACACTGAGTTTCTGGTTCTCGTGCCGGTACCTCTATGTAAACGCAAGTCATTTGTTTAATTACATCCTCTCAAGGTGCAATGAACTAGCTGCTCATCTGAGAGCAAATCTAATGCAATAGGCTTACCGCAATAATTCAATCTTTCGATTAAGCGCGCCCTATTGTGTAAGTACCCTCATTCCAATACGCGCCCCTATACAAGTAACAGCCCTTACTACAATAAGAGCCCCTATTCTTTTTCAGTGATAGCACTGTTAGAGTACATTTATATTGAGACCAAGTAGTGCATCAAGCCATAAGCAAATCACGTGACAATAATCCCTATGATCGACGGAATAACGTATCGGACGAAGAAGATATTGACCTAAAAGCTTTGTTATTGGTCAAAGCAACACTGAGGCTATCGACGTTGAACAGTTGAACAGACTAGTGACATTCAAAATTCCTCACCATTATTTAGAGAATAAGCGCCTTCCCTTGAAGTACCATTAGTAAGTGAGCTCCCCGGGCGCTAAATTGAAGCTTTAAGGTGACTCCCTAATACCTCCTTCTTCCAGGTTCGTGAACGCCTTGGTGTATTTTGGAATCAACTTGAACGTGGGAAACTTGGCAGGAGACATATACCTCAATTTCTTTATCTTGTGCATCGTTGAAATTCCCGGAGCATTGATACTCATGTTTTTAATGTCAAGGTAGTGTTTGTGATAGTGTAACCCAAAACTCCACAAAGCAAAAACAATCGAAATTAGCCAACAAAATCCTTCACGGTGACAATAAAAAGTGTCCATGTCAGTGACTAAACATCTTATTGAGGAAGGAAAATCGACAATTAAAGTAGACTTGTGACTTGAAACTTTTAAAAGTAATAAGGAGTTTTGGTGTTTTGCCGAAATGTGCGTTGTTCCTATGGTCCGTTACTGCGTTAGCTCAAAATAGTTTATCAGTATCACTAAAAACCGCCCAAACCAATAGTTTTTTTGGAGCAGTTGATACCTACGATTCAGTGGAAGATTCAGATCTTGAACTAAGTGGGGGCCACGCTCATTCAGTGCCTAAGATGAGAAGGGGGCTGGCCTCGAAATATTTTTTCCTCTCTCTGCGGGCCTTGGATTTGCTTTAGAATAACGTGTGGGCCCGAGTATTTGGCCCTTCTAGATCCGCCACTGCTATTCCCTTGCTAGTGTCCATTTACAAAAACATGTGTCTGTTTTGTAACCGTAGAGAGCCGTTTTACAAAGAGAATGGAGAAAACGGTTTGATGCATTTTTCCCTTTGCACCAGTCACATGCATTCTTCCAGGGTCTGTGTGTTCTGCTGTTTGCGCATGTTTCATATGTTTAGCACCAGTTTCCTTCACCCCCCTCTCCATTTTTTTCGCTAAGCAGAATTGCTCGTGTTTTTAGCATACATTTAATGCCATTTCTCCGAGATTTATAGATTTGCAGCTGTTGCTTTGATTGTTCGTGAATGACCAGCTGAGTGACACCAGTTTGCTTCTTTGCAGATATGGTCGTCGTATTCCATACGCTGCTTTCATGATCTTTGGAGGACTGGCAGGAATGCTAGTACTAGCCGTTCCATCTGATGAAGGTAAAGAAAGGTTCACGTACTTTAGACGAGCAGTTCCAACTGACTTAATGTATAAAGAATTTCGAATTCCATCTACAGCGACAGCGAGAAACCGAATTTGTTTGCCAGTAAATCACAACCAAAAAGTTTCTGTCTCTTTTCATATCCAAGTTCAGTGTTCTGTATCACAAAAACAAAAACGCTACNGCTAGTGTCCATTTACAAAAACATGTGTCTGTTTTGTAACCGTAGAGAGCCGTTTTACAAAGAGAATGGAGAAAACGGTTTGATGCATTTTTCCCTTTGCACCAGTCACGTGCATTCTTCCAGGGTCTGTGTGTTCTGCTGTTTGCGCATGTTTCATATGTTTAGGACCAGTTTCCTTTCCCCCCCCTCCATTTTTTTCGCTAAGCAGAATTGCTCGTGTTTTTAGCATACATTTAATGCCATTTCTCCGAGATTTATAGATTTGCAGCTGTTGCTTTGATTGTTCGTGAATGACCAGCTGAGTGACACCAGTTTGCTTCTTTGCAGATATGGTCGTCGTATTCCATACGCTGCTTTCATGATCTTTGGAGGACTGGCAGGAATGCTAGTACTAGCCGTTCCATCTGATGAAGGTAAAGAAAGGTTCACGTACTTTAGACGAGCAGTTCCAACTGACTTAATGTATAAAGAATTTCGAATTCCATCTACAGCGACAGCGAGAAACCGAATTTGTTTGCCAGTAAATCACAACCAAAAAGTTTCTGTCTCTTTTCATATCCAAGTTCAGTGTTCTGTATCACAAAAACAAAAACGCTACTATCTCACTAACGTTTGAAAATCATGCATTAAATGCCAATAACACACGAAAATCAACCAATCAGCTTCCAGAATTTAACACAGCACAAAAAGTTAGAATAGCAGTGCTAATTAACTCATCTCGTTTATTGTTTGTTAGGAATGCGGTTTATTGTTACCATACTGGCTGTTATTGGCAAGGCCTGCATCTTGGCAACATTCCTGGGGATTTATGTCTTCACTGTGGAACTCTATCCGACCATCATCAGGTAAGTAAACCTGATTGCCTTTATTTAAGGATAAGCGCTCTTTAGTTCGGAATACAGAGAAGCATGATAATGCTTAGTATCCTTGACTTCAAAATATGTAAGAGTGAAAATAAAATGTAGACCTAATAGAAGACTTTCAAATCTACATAAAGCAATTTTATAAAATTGTTGCTGATGTCATAAAATTTAAATTAAATGGATCTGTCCTACATTTACCCCCCATTTCGCATTGCACGCAATGCAAAATAAACAGTAAAAAAGCAGCGAGTAAGAACCAAGTTTTTAAGAATCTGCGAGGCTAAGAATTACTAAGGGAATAATACTATGAATACGTACGAATCTTAGGGCGCTTTCCATTTGTCAGAAATGACCGGCCAGCCCATTCCCATCTTAATGAGAATTTCACTCTTAATCAAAACTAACCATCCAGATCAGTCAAATCCAAAATATTATACACAGAGGAGATGATTTTTCAGCTAAACCTCTTGGGAAAAGCCTATTTTTTTTTCATTGCCAGAAAGTCTGGTCTGGCCATGGTCAGGCCGGCCAGTTCTGACTTTTGGAAAGCGCCCTTAGTAAGAAACACTAAGGGAATCTTAGTAAGAATAAGCAAGAATCTCAATAAGAATTACTACGGGAATCTTGATAAGAATAAGTGAGATTGTTAAATATGTAGTAAGGATAACTACGGGAGTCTTGGTAAGAATCTAAGAGAGAAACACTACGGGAATAGTAGTAAGAATGTGTAAGATTCTTAGTAAGAATCACTATGGGAATCACAGTAAGAATAGCCGGTAAGAATCTCAGAGCGTTAATCTTCCAGTGAGTACATCTTCGAAATCTCACGCTACCCTCCACAATGTTATTCCCTTAGGTCAATATCATCATTGTTATTTCTTTGTAGGAATACTGGCGTTGGTGTGTGTTCAATGATGGCTCGTTTAGGCAGTACTATAACACCATTCATTGTGTTACTGGTTTGTATCATTATTGCATCAAAAACTCATGATTACAGTTTTTCCGTTAAAACCGCGCATGCAGCCATATTACCTTTCCTCACTCTCATGATCAAATAAGTGCCCCTCAAGAAAAAGCACTCACAAACTAACTTACTAGCATATATGAAATTCCCCCTTTTTCGCTTTAGTAATCGTTATTATATATTGCAAGACAAGCTTCTTTCTTTTCGGATGCATAATTGTTTACACGTTGACTAAAATAACTAAACCATCAATGGCCAGCATGGATATAAACTACAGATTTCTCATTCTTGATTTGCGTGCTATTTTTGTGCGCATTAGTGCCAACATAACGTTTTTAATAGTTCGCCCGTCCTCCATTCGTCCGAAACTTCAAATAAGCCTCTGGCCTAGAGGATTTCATGAGGAAATACAGTGAAGTTTTACTTTTGTTTCCTTTTAAGGCTGACCTTCCACTCTTGAGCAGAACACTACCGCTGGTGATTTTTGGAATTTTTGGGATTCTCGCAGGCATTTTGGCTCTCTGGCTCCCAGAGACACTTTACAGTCCCATGGCCCAGACCGTGGAGCAAGCGGAGGAGTGGGACGAGGACTACAAGATTTATTGTTGCAGACAACACATCCCCGCAAAGAAGGAAAAAAACATTGAAATGTCAGTTAAAGAGAATGAAGCAAACGACTGTGAACATGCTACAGTATGAATTACAACTCCCAAAAAGACAAGTAACAGCTTTGTTTAAACGAAAAACCAACAGCGTTTTTTTGTATTCAGTGGGTTTTGTTCTTAACAAACCCTTAATAAAAAGTCTTTAAATTTAGATTATATTAATAAGGTTAGTAATAATAATAATTTAAAAATTTACAACGCGCAATTATCTACATGAATATTATTAAATGCTCGAAAAAATATAATTAAACTTTAGAGAATTAATATACATTAATTACAAAAGCGCATAAATAAGGTTGAAGTGGTATATGTACTGATGCATTAATAAATTGAAAAAATAAGTCTAAAAGTTTCGTTTTGTATTGTTCTGTTGTTCGGGAATTTGTTCCATACGGCCGGAACTGCCATTTTATAGATCACCCAGTGCCTTTTATGACTTATAGATGGTAATTCAAGAAGAAGTCCATTGTTAAATAGTAGATTGTATCTACAGACCTCCTTTATTGTCACAAGTTCCTTTAAATAGTCAGGTGACAGTCCATGCGATATCTTAAATGTTAATATAGCAAACTTGAATAAGATTCTATATTTAACGGAGAGCCAGGGAAGGGATTTCATCACCGGCGTAATATGATGAAAACGGGAGGTAAGGGAAATAAGTCTTGCCGCTGAATTCTGTAAGCGCTGAAATTTGGCGACATTAACCACAGGCAAGCCTTACAAGAGACCATTGCAATAATCAATACCACTAATAACGAGGGCATGCACCAATATTTGGGTAGCATCCTTAGTTAGAAAATTTCGGATGTGCCTGATGTTGTATATCTGAAAGTAAGCAGCTCTACACGCTTTGTTAATGTGATCTTGGAGGACAAGGCTCGTATCTATTCACGTTCCAAGATTCCTAGCGGAGTTGACCGGAGGAACGGTAGCACTACCAATGGTTAGATGATATGAACTAATCTTTGAAAGTTGCTGCTTCGTTCCAATAATCAAGAACTCGGTTTTACTGTCATTTAGTCTGGGCTTGTCAGCAAGCATCTATGTTCTTATTTCTTCGACGCATCTCTCGATGGCTGCAATAGACTGTGCTGGTAGTTTCAAAGCCCAATATTTTTTTTATAATTATTAAAATTTTCATCTTTACATTTTCTGAAATGTTTAAAACTGCAATGGACATATTTTAAGTCGGAATGGGTAGAAGACCTTTAATATGTGTAAAAAATATATGACACTGATTAATGGGAAACTTTCAAGAACGCTAACATTCTGTGCGGTCGTAGATAAGCTCGATGTTGATTAATTAATATTTATTAGAATTCCAATGTTTGGAAAAAGCCAAAGTTTAGAATTCCAGTGTTTGGAAAAGACAAAATTTAGAATTCCAATCTCAAAAAAAAGAAAAATTTAGAATTCCATTGTTTGAAAAAGCCAAAATTTAAAAATCCAATGATTGAAAAAGGCCAAATTTATATGTCTAATGAAAAAGCCAAAGTTAGAATTCCAGTGTTTGGAAAAGGCAAACTTTAGAATTCCAATGTTTGAAAAGGCCAAAGTTTGAAATACCAATATTTAAAAAAAGCTAAAATTAAGAATTCCAGTGTTTGGAAAAAGCTAAAATTTAGAATTCCAGAGTTTGGAAAAAGCCTAGATTTAGAATTCCAATGTTTCGAAAAGCCAAAATTTAGAATTCCAGTGTTAAGAAAAGCCAAAATTTAGAATTCCAATGTTTGGAAAAGAAAAAGTTTAGAATTTCAATGCTTGGAAAAGCCAAAGGGTAGAATTTCAGTGTTTCGAAAAAGGCACATTTAGAATTCCAATGTTTAGAAAAGGCAAAATTTAAATTACCAACGTTTGAAAAAGCCAAAGTTTAGAATTCCAAGGTTTGGAAAAAGCTAAAATTTAGAATTTCAATGTTTGGAAAAAGCTAAGAATTAGAATTCCAATATTTGCAAAAAGGCAAAATTTGGAAATCAAATGTTTGGAAGAAGCCAAAGTTTAGAATTCCAATGTTTGGAAAAAGCCAAAATTTAGAATTGCAATGTATGGAAAAGCCAAAGTTTAAAATTTTAATGTTTGTCAAAAGGCAAATTTAGAATTTCACTGTTTGGAAAAGCCAAAGTCTGAAATTCCAATGTTTGGAATAGCCAGAGTTTAGAATTCCTATGTTTGGAAAAGCTAGAGTTTAGAATCAGGGTTCACGTATATAAACGGGTAGGGATTTCTTGAGTTGAAGTATATGATAAGGTAGGGAAAATTATCATTTAGGTGTTTAAAAAGAGATTTCACACCAAATATTTGTAACCTATGCACCTTATGGCTTACAAATTTACTGTTAGTTGGTATGTGAAAGTCCATAAGATAGTCTTAAACAACAAGTATAATGAACAGTTGTCTTTTTCGGCATATCCTCGGGTGTAAGAACCTGCAAATCTCACGGGTGACGTAAAACAAGGAAGACAACGAAGTCAACACAATAGAACCTAGGAAAACAAAATTTGCCAAACAAAGAAAAAGTTCACTGGTTCTCACACCGAGGCAAACCCTCTTCTTTCGTTTTAGGATACTGGCATTGGTGTGTATTCTATAATGGCTGGTTGTGGCAGCATAATAACACCATTCATCGTGTTATCGGTTTGCACTTTCGACACTTTAAATTCACATGCGGAGAGAACCACAATAAATGGTGACCTACTTTTAAACAGCCGCTATGTTTTAAGTTCACGTTCCAAGATTCCTAGCGGAGTTGACCGGAGGAACGGTAGCACTACCAATGGTTAGATGATATGAACTAATCTTTGAAAGTTGCTGCTTCGTTCCAATAATCAAGAACTCGGTTTTACTGTCATTTAATCTGAGCTTGTCAGAGAGCATCTATGTTCTTATTTCTCCGACGCATCTCTCGATGGCTGCAATAGACTGTGCTGGTCTTTTCAAAGCCCCAAATTTTTTTTTATAATTATTAAAATTTTCATCTTTACATTTTCTGAAATTTTTAAAACTGCAATGGACATATTTTAAGTCGGAATGGGTAGAAGACCTTTAATATGTGTAAAAAATATATGACACTGATTAATGGGAAACTTTCGAGAACGCTATCATTCTGTGCGGTCGTAGGTAAGCTCGATGTTGATTAATTAATATTTAGAATTTCAATGTTTGGAAAAGCCTAAATTTAGAATTCCAATGTTTGGAAAAAGCCAAAGTTTAGAATTCCAGTGTTTGGAAAGGACAAAATTTAGAATTCCAATCTTAAAAAAAAGAAAAAATTTAGAATTCCATTGTTTGAAAAAGCCAAAATTTAAAAATCCAATGATTGAAAAAGGCAAAATTTATATGTCTAATGTTTGGAAAAAGCCAAAGTTTAGAATTCCAGTGTTTGGAAAAGGCAAACTTTAGAATTTCAATGTTTGAAAAAGCCAAAGTTTGAAATACCAATGTTTAAAAAAAGCTAAAATTAAGAATTCCAGTCATTGGAAAAAGCTAAAATTTTGAATTCCGTTGTTTGCCAAGGCCAAAATTTAGAATTCCAGAGTTTGGAAAAAGCCCAGATTTAGAATTCCAGTGTTTCGAAAAGTCAAAATTTAGAATTCCAATGTTAAGAAAAGCCAAAATTTAGAATTCCAATGTTTGGAAAAGCAAAAGTTTAGAATTTCAATGCTTGGAAAAGCCAAAGGGTAGAATTCCAGTGTTTCGAAAAAGGCACATTTAGAATTCCAATGTTTTGAAAAGGCAAAATTTAGATTACCAACGTTTGAAAAAGCCAAAGTTTAGAATTCCAAGGTTTGGAAAAAGCTAAAATTTAGAATTTCAATGTTTGGAAAAAGCTAAGATTTAGAATTCCAATATTTGCAAAAAGGCTAAATTTGGAAATCAAATGTTTGGAAGAAGCCAAAGTTTAGAATTCCAATGTTTGGAAAAAGCCAAAATTTAGTATTGCAATGTATGGAAAAGCCAAAGTTTAGAATTTTAATGTTTGTCAAAAGGCAAATTTAGAATTTCACTGTTTAGAAAAGCCAAAGTCTGAAATTCCAATGTTTGGAAAAGCCAGAGTTTAGAATTCCAATGTTTGGAAAAGCTAGAGTTTAGAATCAGGGTTCGCGTATATAAACGGGTAAAGATTTCTTGAGTTGAAGTATATGATAAGGTAGGGAAAATTATCATTTAGGTGTTTAAAACGACTTTTCACCAAAATATTTGTAACTGATGCACCTTATGGCTTACAAATTTACTGTTAGTTGGCATGTGAAAGTCCATAAGGTAGTTTTAAACAACAAGTATAATGAACAGTTGTCTTTTTCGGCATATCCTCGGGTGTAAGAACCTGCAAATCTCACGAGTGACGTAAAACAAGGAAGACAACGAAGTCAACACAATAGAACCTAGGAAAACAAAATTTGCCAATCAAAGAAAAAGTTCACTGGTTCTCACACCGAGGCAAACCCTCTTTTTTCGTTTTAGGATACTGGCATTGGTGTGTGTTCTATGATGGCTCGTTGTGGCAGCACAATAACACCATTCATCGTGTTATCGGTTTGCACTTTCGACACTTTAAATTCACATGCGGAGAGAACCACAATAAATGGTGACCTACTTTTAAACAGCCGCTATGTTTTAAGCAATGAAAGCATTTTTCTTCAGTATCATAATATCATAAATCCGTAGGCTGATAATTAGGGAGAGGAGGAGTTTGATCGGCTCGGTCTACAGCCCTGGATGTCTGTATGCTTCTCCGATTCTCGTCGCCTCCACACAGGCAGGTCAGGATTGGTTTGCTATAACATCTTATTGGGTGATTTACCTACCACAAGGCGTAGCAATTAACCATGCGCAGTCTAAAAGGAAGTCTCGAAACATGAACTGAAAATGGCCCTAGCTATAATTTTCTCTTATCCAGGCTGACCTTCCAATCATCAGCAAAACACTACCGCTGGTCTTTTTTGGGATACTGGGGATTATCGTTGGCATTATGGCGCTCTGGCTCCCTGAGACGCTTTACAGTCCCATGGCGGCCCAGACCGTGGAGCAAGCAAA